CCAGCGTCCCTGGCTCCATGAGCATCCCTGGCTCATCAGCATCCCTGCCTCCTCCAGCTCCATGAGCATCCCTGCCTCTGTGAGGATCCTCCGGCTCCACTAGCGTCCCTGCCTCCACCAGCATCCCCGGCTCCGCGAGCATCCTCCCGCTCCGCGAGCGGCCCTCCCACCCTGCACACATCCCTCCTGCTCCAGCAGCATCCTGCCGGCTCCAGGACCCTCCTTCCCGGCCCAAGAGCATCCCTCCCACCCTCCGCACATCCACTCTGCCCTGCAAGCACTCCCYGAGCCGTGCAAGCATCCCTCTGACCCCACACCTCCTTCCCCCGACCCAGGCCTCGCTCCAGCCGCACTGCCCGCCGAGCCCGCAGCCGGGCGGAGCAGGGCCAGCAGCCCGCCGCACAGCACAGAACTTGTCCTGCTGCCGGATCCCTGCTGGGATCCCGCGCCCGGCCCCTCGAAGCCCGCCCCGTCGCCCCTCGCCTAGACGTGGCAGCGCCCCGTCCTCCCGCTGCTCCTCTGCTGACGGGGAACGGCCCGCGCGGCGCCCTGCCCCGCACGCCGGGCCCGTCGCGGACACCCCGCTGCGGCTGAGCCCGGCGCCCGGTCCACCCGACGGGGCCCAACCCTTCCCCGTCAACATCCCGGCGGCTGCAGCGCCCGGCTCTGCTCCCGCTGCCCGGCCAGGGTCCGGCTCCCGTGGGGATGGGGCGGCACCGGCTGCTCCCGAGCCGAACCGGGGCTCCCGGGGCCGCCTCGGCGCCGGCCCCACGCCCGCCGGGTGGGGGGCTGAGCGCCAGGCACTGCTCCAAGCGCGATCCATAAACCAGGGTCACGGAACGAGAGCTGCTGCTGTGTCGGGAAAGGCGGCTCCTCTCCGCTGCCCTTTGCTTTCAGCCCCAGGCCGGGCCCCTCGGGGCTCCCGCGGGACGGTGGACCCGGCTCCCGGCGGCTCCCACCGTGTCCGCTGCCCCCAGCCCTACAGAGCGGCGACCCCGGGGCCGCGGGCACAAAGGAACGGGCGCCACGTCTTCCCCGGTGGCGGGAGGGGACGGACCGCSCGGCTGCTCCGCACCGGGCAGCGGGAGGGGACGGAGCGGGGGACACGGGCAGGGAGCGGGGAGCCCGCGCCGCCCTCCCGCGCCCCGCGGCA